TGAGCTCTTAGACTGAGCTTTTTAATCTATTAAAGATTAATTTAATACGCAGTATATATACATGCACAATAAGAGTAGCTATTACATGTTTCTCCAAGTCGCTACAGTTAGGAAAAAGGTTCATTCGTTATGTTGAACTATCCACTTTGATTTCCTACGCTCAACTGCATTTTTACCCCAGCATCGTGTTAATTATTGCTGTTCTTCGGATGTATTTTAATATTAGTTACCTCTTTTGCACCAGATTCTTTGAGCAGTTTTATTATAGGTGAGATGGTATTGCCCCTCACGATCGAATCATCTACGAGAACGATTCTTTTGCCTTTAAAGTTGTCCGACAATACTCCAAATTTTTTGGCAACACCGAGTTGTCTCAATCTCATGTTTGGCTGAATGAAGGTTCTTCCTACGTATCGGTTTTTGCACAGCACCTCCACATATGGAAGTCCACACTGGAAAAGAAGAAATAAAAGGATAACGAACAGCGGTACACAAATAGCCGAGGCTCCTATTTTCTCTAGACTGGGCTGCCACTCTAACATGTAACACTTCAAAATGTGGTTGTGATTCCGGGCTCTCCACCATCAGATTCTAATTTTCCTTCACTATTTAAACTGTGGGAAGGCCAAAAGGCAAAAAGAAAAACCACTAAAAGTAACATACTTGGTGAAGAAGACAGTTCATTTTGCTAGAAATTGTAATGACTTTTTCTTAAACAATTATTATTATTCCTCTACCTTGGAAGAGAATAATAAGCATATAAAGACAGGACAGAAGATAAAACACTGTCAAAAGATTCACATATTTAAAAATTATTGGCCTAAGAAATGGATTAAAATCTGCAGGCAAAGGAGGTGATTTTTAGGGACAGGAGGTAATACATCTATTTCTTAAATACTATCCACAGTAGAGAATATTGGGTATTACATATGCATATCCAAGGATCACTAAAGTTAAACAATCTACCTAGTGATGAAAAATAAAATTTAGCATAGCACTAAGAACATGACACTAAATGAACAGGAACAGCTCGATTATTATTACCTACACTCAGTAGGCAGCAAATAACACCAGGGACTTATGAGACGACGCCAAGAAGTAGATCTTAATAATAAATAAATAGTAACCACTACATTCTATATAGTTGACCTTGGCACAATATGGGTTTGAACTACACTGGTGGATTCTTCTGCCTCTCCACCCCTGAGACGGCAGGACCAGCGCCTCCTCTTCCTCCTCCTCAGCCTACTCCGCGTGAAGACAACTGGGATGACGGCCTCTGTGACAATCCACTTCCACTTAAGGACAATCCACTTCCACTTAAGGA